CCCAAACCACTTTCTCCTGACAAACCCAAATCTATTCCCCGCTGAAAATGGTAACTTGTAAAACAAATAACCAAACAAACATAACTCTAGAAAGTTAATTTCGGGTAAATCAAAACAAACAATGGTGTTCCGTACCCTTATCTATAAGGTCCGCCTGTCCATCCGTACACAGATATACGAAGCATTTGGACTGGCCTGGCAGTGTGAAGTTCTTCCCGTCGCTGTAAGTTCCTCCATTGACATTGCAATCTGCAAGACGACATGAAGAAATGTTATCCTAGTTTTTGTTGTTGTTGTTATTGTTGTTGTTTGTTGTTATTGTTTTCTAGCCACCTTCCAAACGGGTTTAGTTCATTTTTATTTATAAATGATATAAACATTAATCTATATAAAAAGGTTCTTGTGAGCAAATCTTTTTAAAAGCTCAAATTAATTGTAGACCTATTTGAGTCAACTTTTGACAACGTTTTATTTTTGCTCAAACAGTATCAAGTTATGAGTGAACATTTGAAGACTTATCTTTACTCTATCCAACATCATTAATGCTGTTGTGCGCCCTATCACACTTGTTCACACTTCAATAGCACCAAGGGAGCATGACAAAGGTAGGCTCTGCAAAAATCAAGTCATCATCATGACTGACCCAATCTTTTAGGTATTCACACCAGTTTCACTTTCTCATTGACTATTACCATACTGAACATCCTCGATGTTTTAAATTTTTTTTACAGACGGTTTGCTTACTAAATATCAAATAATGCAGACGAATCAAGGATGATTTCAACTTTTTCATTTTATTTCTGAGAAAAGTAACAGTAACTATCTTTAAAGCAGAATCTAAAAATAAATTTAAAGAATAGAAAACTTATTTAGAGCTACATTAAGTCGAAACAGGAGCCTTTGAAAAGCTCACTTTAAAAATATTTTAATGTATACTAGTGACAACAACTGTACGTCTGTAAAATCCAAAAGGCTTCACATTTTTGTTGTTGTTGTTGCTATAAACACAAAAGCGCCAGTTTGTAGAAATGAGCAGCATTTTTCTTTTTATCTGTAGACTATATCAAACACAAGGTAACAATACTGAGCTTTTTGAAACTCAATTTTACATCGTCATATACAATAACAATGTGAAAACTTTTCTATCAAAATGAGTGCACCAACCTCGCTTTCCGTCCGAAGGTTGACTACCACCTCCAGTGCCGCCAGAGCATTTGTACTTGATCTGAGAATCCACGACACTGCAGGAGCATGTCTCGTACCTTTTGCCACCAATTTCGAACGGGAAAGTATCTCCGGGGTCATGGCATTTTTTATCCGCATCTACGCAGCCTGTAACAAAACTTTCAGTTATCCAAAGATTGCACACAACAAGAGAGTTCAAACAGCCAAAAAGGTGTCTGCGGAAGTCCGCGAATTGGTTCAGATGGCGCTTCGGTCTTTCCTTTGAAGCTCTCAAGGCTAAAACAGTACCTGGACATAGATGGCTGGTAACTCTATAAATACACCATTGATGGTCAAGGTTTTGAAGCTCTCTTTCGTTTCTCCAGAAGAAGAATAGGAAGAACACAGTTTGTTAGTTTCATTTTTATCGATTTTCATACAAGTAGGGTAACGCTTATAGCAAAGTCCGCACTTTTTCGAAGAGAGCGCCACCGAATTTTGAGAACACTTTTTTAATTGGTTCAAAGAGAGGGATGCACCATCTTGTTGAGTACGATGTTTGCTTATCAAAGCTCTTTCTTTCGTGAGCTGCTGCAATCAAGATATTTATTTGCGAACCAGTTTCCGTGCGTTGGCTATTCATCATCTTGGGATACTTTCGTCGGGATTCGAGTTTCAGACGCGTCAAGATATGGGAACAAGGATGAAACCTATTTGAACGTATATATATATATATATATATATATATCAAGAAAGATATGTGCGCTTAACCTTTACCCTTTCATTATGGAAACTTTATTCAGCAAATGAGTTTTATATGATGCGATTTGGACCAATGGCCTGAAACACTGAATGAACATACTTACATATTTACTCATTTACTTACCAACTATCAAACACACAATGAAATCATATACTTACGCTCTGTTGTTAGTTCGGGTTTCAGCTTGGTCCCAATCTTGGTGCAGGTGTATTTGTGGCAATTTTCTTCAAAAACTGAACCAACGTCATGGCAATCACCACTACGTGATTTGCAGCCTGATTAAATGAGACAATGATGAATATTACGTGACTTAAAATTGATGTACAGAAAAGTGGGGACACGCGGAACAACATCAAGAGGCTGGTCAAGGATAAAGAGCGGTGGGAAGTGTTTGTTCGTGGCCTATACCGTGATGCATGATGAGAAAGGAAAAGATGATGATGGGTCTTAGGATGTCTCAGTGTTGTGTTTGTTCATTTGTGTCACAACCTGGTGGAATCAGGCTCTCGACAAGTTTTAGACATGTGGAGTTATTGTATCATCTGAAAGCTGACTTATTCGCCTTGCTTTCAATGAAATAAGTATCCATCTATCTTGAACAGAACTCAAGATATTTACGATTGAAGGAAGTGAGATCCCTTGGTTTCAGTTTTGAAAATAACGAGAATATTACCGCCAAAGTTTGATTACTTCAATAACTAAAGAGTCCTTGAAAACAGAGAAATGACATATTGAGTGCATTTAATCGATGTTTTTTTATAGGTAAAATTCATTTGGATATGTGTCTTTATATTGACATGAAAGAGGTTGATCCAAAAAAAAAAATAATTCAAGAAAAATTTCCAAACTGAGGGGAACATGCTTGTTTCTCCAATTTCTGCATTTTGACGGGCGCCTGATTTCACCACGCTGCCTCACACTTGTTTTTTAAGGGTTAAAATAGGAATGACAAGGTGTTGCAGAGATATGAGATGTGCTTGTTTCTAACTTTCTATGGCACGATTAAGGAATCAATCATCTTCTCTTCTCCTTCTCCTCCTTCTCCTCCTTCTCCTTCTTTTCCTTTTCCTTCTGGGCGTAATGGACGCTAAATGTGTCTGTCAAATTTCACAGAACAAGGTACTGAGCAGATTACAAAACTTTGTAAATGGTCGCTTTTAAGCACAAGGGGGCTATCCCGAAAAATGCTGTTTTTAGAAAATCGAAGGTAAAGGTTTTGCCCCTTGTTCAGTTTCTTTAAAAAATGAGGAGAGTTTTCTCTATAACAACAAAAAATAAAAAATACACACAAATGAAAGCAAACTTCTCCTATAAGTAGGGCAATGCCCACTTTTGATGTAGGCCAAGATTTCTGAGGGGAAAAAACGTAACCTGGGTTCGCCCGCTTGTCCTTAAAAGCGACCAAATGTAGGGTAGCGATATAGAAGCTCATGGTCATTATTCCTTACCTTCCGAAATTTTACGGGCTTGTCCGTCTGTACATTTGAACTTGACGCACTCGGACTGGCCCGGCAGATGAAAAGTCTGTCCGTTCGGGAATGTTGCGTTGTTTACAGTGCAGTCTGCCACAACAGCATTTTCGACAGGGGAAATATATCAAAATAATATGTTATAATTTGCACAATTTGAATTCGAAAACTAAACCTTTATTTGTGTATGCAATAGTTTGGTTGTTTTTTTTTTCAAATGCATTTTAAAAATATATCTAGTGCGAGATTATTCTATAGCTAAAATAACATATGTGCACTTATTTCGCATAATTCAGCATTAACTTAAGAAACGGAAATTTAGGGACTGTACCTCGGGTACTATGCATTTATTGTTCGATTTAACTTTGAGTATAAAGCAATTCTATAAAATCAAAGCTTATGGTCTGAAACGTAACGAAATGGATACTATTATTAATAAATGACTAATATTTTACTGTGTAATAGGTAATATAAATGAATGACATACTGTAGTACTTTCTTCATTTACTTCCAACAAAATTATTGCATGATCAAAGAAATGCAGAAAGTCACACGAAATATTATTTTTCAACGCCGTACTCTACATAACAATATCTGACTCGTACTGGTACATAATTTGTATTCTTTGTGGAAATGACACAGTTACTTTCTGAGGCCTGGACATTCCAATCACCAATAACCAACGATACAGTAGTGCTACCTCTTCAGTCTGACCAAGAATATTGACAAATAAACGTGGATTAGGAGCTCTCATGGTCGAGAGATTATGGTGTTTGCCTCTCGTTCAATAGGTCCCGCAAAGTACGGAAAATTTTCTTCTATAAAATATTCTCCTTTCAATTCCTTTCCTGCGCTTTAACCATGTTCTATCCTCTGTTTTCGTCTCTACCTCACCCCGCCCTCCTCTCCTTTTGCCTCCTCCTCTGGGCTTCTGACTCTTCCTGTAGCCTTTCTACTGCTATTATTCGGCTCCACCTTACTGTTGTCTGTCAGCCATATGCCTGCTCTTAGGGTAGGTGTAAAATCTAAAGCCCTGCCTTCTCGGATATGGAAAAGCGCACGTTAAAGATCATTTGGTGATTCAAAATAGACAAAAGTAAGCTTCGGCCGACACCCAGGCAAAATTAAAAAATTAATAGCTACCAAACTAAAAACGCTAAACGCGCTCATGTGACCATATTATGCAGTTGCGAAAGCAATAATACACTATACTAAAACAAAAAAAAAAACAAAAGTGGCTTAACAGATCGCACTCGTTTATACGTACCTCCATTACCGCTGGGGCTTCCGCTTCCACTCCCACCGCTGCAGGAGTACTTCAGTGTGTTATCGACGAGGTTACAGGTACATTTGTCGTGAGTTGTCTCCCCTATCGTGTAGGAGAATGTCTCGCCCTGATCGTGACACACGCCCTCGGAATCCGTGCAGCCTGGGGTGGAGGTAATGATGATGATGATGATGATAATAATAATAATAATAATAATAATAATAATAATAATAATAAATAATAGTAATAATAAGAATAAAAACAATAATATAATAATAATAATAATAATAATAATAATAATAATAATAATAATAATAATAATAATGTAATAATAATATTTTTAAAAAATAATAATAATAAAAAATAATAATATAATAATAATATTAATAATAATGATAGTAACAATAATAATAATTATGAGAAGAAGAAGAAGAAGAAGAAGAAGAAGAAGAAGAAGAAGAAGAAGAAGAAGAAGAAGAAGAAGAAGAAGAAGAAGAAGAAGAAGAAGAAGAAGAAGAAGAAGAAGAAGAAGAAGAAGAAGAAGAAGAAGAAGAAGAAGAAGAAAAAGAAGAAGAAGAAGAAAAAGAAGGAAAAAGAAGAAGAAGAAGAAGAAGAAGAAGAAGAAGAAGAAGAAGAAGAAGAAGAAGAAGAAGAAGAAGAAGAAGAAGAAGAAGAAGAAGAAGAAGAAGAAGAAGAAGAAGAAGAAGAAGAAGAAGAAGAAGAAGAAGAAGAAGAAGAAGAAATAAGAATAATGATAATAATAACAATAACTATTAAAGCAGTTAGTCCATTAATATTTATTGATAAAAATCAGGCGCGGTTCGTCCATAGAGCACGGTCATGCAGTGCCGCCCAATCTTTTTAATGTTCTGTTACGTAAAACAAATACAATAGTGAACTAAAAGAAGCCAGAAACAAACACTAGCCAAATATTATATGAAAACTAGGCCCTCACTGGCGCCATAACTGTCATTTCTGTGTCTATAGCGCCGTGCCATGCTAAGGCCCACGCATTTTAGCTAAACATAATAGGATATTCAACAGTGTAACCTAGTAACCTGACCTATAAATCGCTCTCGGGGATACCCCAATCGATGACAGCCCTCGTAGCGAGTTTGGCGGTAGATTAATATTAATAAGACGGCACATCTCAAATGTGCTCCTGCCGAATAGTGCCGAAACATAGCCCGCAGTAGGCAGTCTAAAAATAGACGCGGTAGACCGCGCGCTATTCTTGCCCATATTATACAAGCCCCGGAGCAATCCAGCGGAGTGCTCAAGTGAATTGTGATTGGTTCATTGTCTGTCTTGCCTCTATTTTAAGTGACTCTGTTAACGTTAACCTGAGGGAGGTGAACGTGACAGTGTTATGAGTTGTGCCTTTGAATGATTTTGTAGTGGAGTAGAGAATGTTATTACTTGAGGGTTCAGTTCCAATACAGAATGAACGGAATTGATGTTTAGCTAACAAACAAATTTAGTACTAGAAATCAAAGCGACAAGTAAAATGAATGAAAATAAAAGCACGAAGTCCTCCCTCACCAACCCAAAGATCCTAAAATTATACACCGTCTCATTTACTATGCCATTGACTATCTTCAACATGCGATAGCTCAATTGTGCACGTCCACTTTTTATCCCCACGAGCCTCCCCGGATAAAAATGGACCAACAAGTGGAAAAAATGTTTGTAATATTGTGACTAGCGCCTGATTTAACCACGACCCCTTACATACGTTCATGCCAAGATTTATAGATATCACTAATGTCAAGAAAATGCAATGACTATGAACAGGCCTCAGGTAGAGTTTGAGGAAAGAAACTGTTTCCTTACCCTGAAAATGAAAATAAATTCCTCGTTTATATCATACAACAGCGTTGCTATAACAGTTTGTATCCGGTAGACCTATAAAAAGCCGAACAATGTCAACAGTATTACAAATATACAGCTTGTACGAAAAACCCTCAGTTCTTTTACCTCCTTCCAAATAAAAGGGAAAGGCAAATTATAATATGATGTGTCTCGACGCGGTAGAATCAGGCTCTTCTCAATTTTTTTAGGCAGCATGGTCTTTTGTCTTGCTTTGGAAGAATAAAATATCCATTTATCGCGAATAGAAGTCGAGATATTTGAGAATAAATGAGGTGGTACGTCACATGGTTTCATATGTAAAATTGGGAGAAAGTGGCCGCCAAAGATGAGTTATTTCCTTCCCTTGAGAGTCCACGAAAACTGAAAACTTACATTTTTTTGTTCCTTTAATCAACATTTTACAGTCAAATCCACACAGACATACTATAACTTTAATAGACTCTTTTAAGACGAGTCACGGGCAAAAGCAACTTTTTCCTTTCCTGGCAGTGTCAAACCTGGTGGTGTATTTATAACAATATGCAGCAAACTTCCTCAGTAGGTAGTTGGCAAATGCTCTGGTGTGGTGTGCTTCTTCTTTCCTATCAAAAATCTATCTTCATTATCTCCCATTTTTCTTTTTATGTTTATTACTCCCTTGTAACACCTCTAATTCTCTGGCGCTCATATGACCTTGTGCAGTTGCGAGCGCCATATAACTTCTTTTAAAACTAAAACTTCCTTATGAGGAATCAAGCTCACGCCTTTTGGACGCAAATGCAAAGAGCCTAACCATGCACCACAGTCTGTGTTTGCAGCCATGTTTGAAGCTGCAGACCAATGTCTAGAAGTATCCAACCGTTCACGACAGTATCAGAGAATGTATCGAGTTGAACAAACTAGTTTGATTGATGATTTAATTTTCCTTGTGCATTTTTGTTTTGGTTTACTGCTGCCTTTGTCGTTCGGGTGGACACACAATACCAGGTAACAATGTTCAACGTTCTTGGCGCAAAACACCGCGGACATACTCTTTAATGAGCCTAGAAAAAGCATGCAAATAAACAACTATAAAAAAATGCTTAAGTCCTAATTTTAAAAGAATTTTTTAAAAAGGTTCCAATTAGTTTCTTTAAAATGCATTTAATGTGTAAGGCACAGGCTAATATGACCGAACAGAATGTTTGTTTGCTGGTAAAAGTTAGGGTACATCCACCGGGAAAGTTGTCCGAAGAAAAAAAAAGTCAAAGAATCTAAATTTTCAGAATGATTATGATCATTCTGAGAAGTGTTTTTTCTCTTTGAACAAGTCTAGCTCCACATAATATAAACTAGTCAACAAAAGTTAAGGAACGTACAGTAAAAAGAGTGATATATTTGTATGCATTCTTTCGAAGTTTTACTTTTACTCGTAAAACTAGATATTGGTGAAATGTTACTCTGTGACTAAAGGGATTGTACACACCAGGGTTTGAAGTGCACGTGACTCCTGTGCGATGAGCTGGGGAGGGGGCAAAAAGGTCCAATGTTTTCCAATTATCGATTTTTATTTTCTAGCTCTTACGTCAGGAAAACTTATGAACGCTCAAAAATCAGTTTTCAATTGCGAGATTCATGTCTCGAGAGTGACTTGCACTCGCTCATTTGCACTGTGGATACACCATTCTGCTGCTGTAGGGCTAAGCATAAACATGCCCCCTCGACAGAAATTGTCTGATGTAAACAGAGGAAGAGCCATTGCTTAGGTACAAGATGGTGTTTCACTCCGACAAGCTGCTACACGTCTTCGAGTGTCCGTTTCTGTCATTTCACGGCTGATACAGCGTGCCAACGCCATTGGTAGTGCCCAAGAGCGACCCAGATCAGGTCGACCAAGAGCCACTAATGCAAGGGAAGACCGATTCATTCATAGACAAGCTCCGCAGTCGAGATCCGCTCCTGCAAATCGCATCCGGACACGGCTGAGAGCGGCAACTCATGTTAACATTAGTTGTCAGACAGTACGAAGACGGCAGTCTTCATGAGTTTGGACTTAATGCACGTCGACCAGCAGTCCGCCAGCGTCTCACCCCAGCACACAGGGCTGCTCGTCTTGCCTTTTGGCGACGCCAAGTAAGTTGGACACGTCAACAGTGGGAAAACGTTCTTTTCAGCCACGAGTCCCGGTTCTCTTTGCATCACAATGACGGCCGTATCAGGGTTTGGAGGCGACCCGGAGAGCGGCTCCTCCATGGAGCCATCAGAGAAGTGATGCCTTTTGGAGGTGGTTCCGTGATGGTATGGGGTGCTTTCAGTCTGAACCACAGAACACCTCTGTACCAAGTGCAAGGGAATCTCACTGCAATACGTTACGGAGATGAGATACTCCGTCCATTAGCACTACCTACTCTGCAGCAGATGGGGCCACATGCAGTGTACCAGGATGACAACGTCCGACCTCATAGAACGTTGCTTGTCCAAAACTTCATGCAGCACGCTGGCATCAACCGAATGGACTGGCCGGCCTGCAGTCCGGACTTGAATCCCATAGAAAACCTCTGAGATGAGCTGCAACGTCGAGTCAGAGACAACCACCCCCTCCAGGAGACACGCAACAACTGTTTCAGATGCTGTAGACAGAGTGGCAGGGGATGCCTCAGAGAGTGTTCACCAATCTCATGAACTCGATGAGGAGCAGGTGTACTGAATACCAGGACAATCGTGGTGGGCATACTCATTATTGAAATCATCTGAACTGTTTGGTTTTGTTGCAGTCAGAAGTTAAAATAATTTCGAAACCGCTTGACAATTTTTGGGATTTTGCGATTTTAACCCCTACCAAACTCAATTAACTTTTCAAGCAAGTTAAAATGGAATAACTTAATTTTCTTTTTAGGTACTTGCTATACACATGTTGATTAAAATGTGTACCAAATTTCATTGCGTGTTGAAGTTTGCTATCGAAGTTATACACTTTTTTTTTCAAATGTTCCTTAATTTTTGTTGACTAGTTTAGAAGCTTTGCAAGTCTAATATTATTCTGATTTTTTTCAACACAGTCGTTTCGTTAGCACAACATTATTATTCTGATTTCTTTCAAACAGAGTCACTTCGAAAGTCAACACATTGACGCTATACTTACGGACTTTTTTCAATTTAGGGCTGAACGTAGTTCCCTCTTGTTTGCAAGTGTAATCGTGGCAGTTTTCTACAAAGTCCTGGTCGAAGGCGTAGCACTTGCCCTGGGAGTGACAACCTATTACGTTGAGAAGAAGAATTAAAGGTACTTTTAAACATTAGGTACAACCGTGAGAAAATTAAGACTTTATTTCTAGGGGGAAAAACTCTTCAGAGAAAATGATTCTAAGTAAGGTGAATTCAAGGCCAGGAAACCTTTCATAACATTGGAAAGACTAGGTTATCGATCTCTCTCTCTCTCTTTCTCTCTCTCTCTCTCCCTCTCTCTTTCTCTCTCTCTCTCTCTC